TAGCATGATGAAATACAAATGACTTGCTGCTCTCCTCAGATAAAAGAACAAGAAAGAGAAAGAAAGTGTGGCAGATTCCTAAAGTTGAGAGGGGGAAGTGGGAATGAGCGAAAAAATTCGAGTAGGTTGAGTTGGGGTCGCATGATCAAGGCGAAAGTTTGAGGGGGCATTAGACAGATTGAACTAAACTCTCCATTTCCCTCCTTTAACCCAATTAGATTCCGTGAAATTAGAATTTAAAATGCCTTCCGTTTGCGTTTTTTACAATTATAGCTTAATTCGGACTAGTTGATATAATTCCATCACAGCTGTGGAAAGATCACCAAGGCCTTCTTTCGCCTCTACATAAACAAACCACCCCCCGCTCCCCAAACACGAACTTTTGGAACCTCTTTTGTCTTTCAACACACTACCAAGTTTTACACAACGATAAACTCAAATCCAATCAAATATCGAAATAAAGTCTTTTAGACTTCTTGTTCATTTTCTTAACTTTTATAACAAACAACCTATCACTTTTTTTTTTACCAACATCAATCAAAATGCCACCAAAGGCCGCTTCTTCTGCTGCTCCCAAAGCCAAAGCTGCCCCATCCGATCATGCCAGCTACCAAGGTAAGGAACAGCTTCTGAATCCACAACACCACGTCGCATACATATCATGTATACATGATCGTGGTCGCCTGCATCTAATGCATTGGATGTGGAGCTTCATTTTTCCATATATCAATTACTGACGCGTCACAATAGACATGATCATTGATGCTATCATCAACTTGAAAGAGGTATGTTCTTATTTCTCCCTTCCACGTCGACGTTTCAAACATATGCTAACATCATTATGTAGCGCAATGGATCTAGGTATGATTCCTTATATCTCGCACCAGTTTCCGCAATCGATATTCGACGCGTCCATTGTTCATCTCTGCCATCACGAATCTCATACTGATATCAACATAGCCGTATCCAACTCAAGAAGTACCTCAAGGCCAATAACAAAATCAATGCTAGTGATAGCATGTTCGATTCTCTCTTCAACCGCGCTTTGAAGGCTGGTGTCGCAAAGGAGGTTTTCATTATGCCAAAGGGTATGTCTTTCATCTGCGCATCATACCATAATGTATATATCTAATCCTTCCTCTGCAGGTTCCTCCGGCACTGTTAAGCTTGCACCAAAGGCCAAGAAGGCCCCCGCCGATAAACCAAAGAAGGCTGCCACCGAGAAGAAGACCACTGAGAAGAAACCCGCCGTTAAGAAGGCCGCCCCAAAGAAGGCAACTGCCACCAAGGAGCCAAAGGAGCCAAAGGAGAAGAAGGAAAAGACTGGTGATGCCGCTGCTAAGCCAAAGGCTGCCCCAAAGAAAGCTGCCGCTAAACCCAAGGCTGCTGCCACCAAGGAGCCAAAGGAGCCTAAAGAGAAGAAAGCATCTGTTGCCAAGCCAAAGAAGGCTGCCGCCCCTAAGGCTGTAAGTTGTCTTACATATACTGATGCATGAATATACGACTAATCAACGAACAACAGGCGCCAGCTGTAGTTGAAAACCCAACTGTCCTCAAGAAGACAGCATCTGGACGTGTTACCAAGACCAAGAGCGATGGTCCCAAGAAGGCTGCTGCTCCTAAAAAGACAGCTACCAAGAAAACCACCCCTAAGAAGGCTGCTGCATAAATGTTTCGTACATAAATGGGCACTTCTTTCTAATGATGATCTACCAAGTTTCTTTTGTTAATAAGGCGTTTGTGGAAAGGAATATCACGCGAGAAGGGACCGCGTTTGTTAGTGTTATTATTTGTGGATTTTTCTTATTCCGAAGCTATGCTATGGTTCTGAGAATATGTACAAAGTAATTGTCTGATGTTACTTTTGACAATTACAGGTACTAGGAAACTTTGTATTGTTGGTTCAGCTTCATAGGATTTTGTATTCAATGGGACTGGACTGATGGAATGGATGGGCGTTGGGGAGAATGCTAGTTGGGGATCTATAGGGATTGGTAGCGATTGATATCAGATTATGTTGTACTTGTACAGAAGGTCAACGACAGCCTGGTTTAAGCAGAATGAAAATGTTTGAAATTTACTTGCTTTTATTGAAATGATTGAAATGTTTATCTATTATCTCTGATTACACCAGTATGATTATGATAAGAGTTGTAAAAACCAAAATTTATCGGACCCGCGACGCGTCAATCTTACATCTTTATCTTTATGATGAAACGGCTCGGGTCCAACGTGTATCTCCGAAAAGGAAAAAAGAAGGAAAAAAAGAAGGGGAAAAAATGCCCCTCTCTGAAAACCCTGATGGACCCTGATGAGATGAGTGGAGATTATGTATTTTTGTGGGTACATTAATTGTATGTATGTTGGATTGGGTTTGGGTTTGGTGGGTAAATGGGTATAGTGGTGGGATTTTTTGTGTAGAGG